TAGAATAAAATTTTTTCTTCATTTCTTAAATTGGAAAATAGATGAAATTGATTTGTAAAAAAATATATATATTTTTTAGTTTTGTAAATTAGAGAATGGACATCCAAATTTTTTCTAAGATTATTTTATTATTTTATTATAAATTAAAATTTGAAAAAAGAAAAATAATATGTAATAAAAGACAGAAGAGAGAAAAAATGAAAGAAATTTGCATTGTAGAGGGGTATTTTTATCTCTTTTGGGGGGGGGGGGGGGGGGGTTAAGTGATACAAAATAAATGTTGGGGGATTAAAGTGAGAATCACCTTAAGGAGATAAATTACAAATAACCTTCAAATAATTATAGGGTGGTGATTTCAACACTGGTTGATTACACAATTCCAACAGTAGTGAAAGAATCGCGGCCAAAAAGAAAAAAAAAATTGGCGGTAATAAATAGTTCAATGTAATTATAACACGCAAATTGAGATTGGTTCATAACTAATCATAGGTTGACTGATTATAGTGAATTTGAGTTTGAAAAGTAAACATTGTTTTAGTTTGTATTGTACATGAGGAATTTATTTCTTGTTTTGATTATAGTGAATTTGATTTGGAAAAGTAAATATTGTTTTAATTTGAGGTAATTTAATTCTTCCATTTGAGAAAAAGCATTGTTTCTTTTGTTCAAAACGAACATATCCGTTGCATATGAAAAAATAATTTAATAGTTTTCCAACGTTGAGCTTTCAATTTTCATTATCATCTGCTGCACTAAGAAATCTGTAATAATTTAATTGCTTAGCTTTCTTGTGAACAGCAGGGACAACGAAACAAAAAGCAAAGCCTGAACACTTCCAAAATTCAAAAAAAAAAAAAAAAAAGCGAAAAGCGAAAAAAAAAAAATTAACACTGAAACACTTTGGCAAAGCAAAAACTGGGTGGAAAAAATGGTTATTTGTTCCGCTGCCGGGAGTCAAACCCGGAATGTAGAACTGCCAAGTTGATTATGTGCTACAGCGGAGCTAAGTCAAATGTGACTTGCACAAACTTTTGTTCCTTTTTTATATATACTAGTGAGGCGGCCTGCGCGTTACGCAGGTGAGTTAATATTTCCCGTGTTAGCTGTTTTTTATTGTGTGGGTTTATTAGTATATATCTATGTTATTATCTAATTCATGTAGATCATTAGAGAATTATCGTTTTTTATTAAAGGTTGACAATTACGAAATATATAGAATACATGAGAACAATAATATATAGAATGCATAAGCGTAAATTAAAAAATTGTATAAGGTTATTTTGCATTTGAATTAAGATAATTAGAGAATTATAAAGTGAATCATTTTCAAAAAAGTATTAATCATTGTTGACACGAAAAAGAGAGGGCCTGGCAAGTCAATTAAGCACTTAAACCATAGAACTTGGCATTGTTAAAATTAATCACCACATATCACAGTAATAAAACCCATTTTTTAAAGTTACTAAAGCCAACAATGGTTTATTAATTGTTTCCTCAATAATTGTGCATTTACAAAACACTTAACAATTTTATTTCATGTCAAGCCAACAATAATTTATTAATTGTTTCCTCAATAATTGTGCATTTACAAAACAATTAACAATTTTATTTCATGTTACAGTAATGAAGGCCATTTTTAAAGTCACTAAAGTTAGCAATAATTTATCAATTCTTTCCTAGGTAATTTTGCATTTACGGGATACTTTAAAAGCAAATAATTAACCACAAAAAACCAACTTTCAAAAGTTTCACTTTTTACACCACCAACCTACTTTAAACAAACAAAACAGGCAATTTGACAAAAACAACCCCGACATCCAATAACAATTACAGGATAACCACTTGACAAAAAAATACTACTCATAGGGCAACTCTCCCTTTTATATTGTTAGATAATTGCAGGATAACCACTTGACCAAAAATACCATTCATAGGGCAACTCTCCCTTTTGTATTATATATATAATTATATTATTTTGTTTTTTTGAAATTTAGAGTACTTTAGTTTTTTAATGTAAGAAACAATCTAATTAATGTTACATGTTTGACTAAAATAATAAAAAAATAGCACACCATATTGCTTTTCAGTTTAGAGTCATTAGGAAAAATGAATGTGTTAAAAAAATTTATAATAATTATATATATTAAATACGAATATGTTAGTAAAATAAGAAATTAATTCTTTTAAAAAGGAAATAAGTTAACAATCTAACTCACATACAAGGCGGAAATAACTTTATGTTTATAGAATGGAAAAATAACAATAAAGATAAGGGCATCAAAAAATTTGTAATAATTATATACATTTAATATGGATACTAGTGCTTGGGGCCACGCTAGCCTGATATAGTTATTTTTTTGTGGCGTTGTGTTAAGCAAATGCATTTGTGAATTTTAGGTGTGAATTTTAGGGGCCCATGTGTAGTGTGTGTGAGAATTGTTGTCAGACGTTGTATTTGTTGGGTTGAGTGAAATATGATATTACATGCAAGGTAGAATAAAACATAGAGTGATTGTTTGGCTATGTGGCATGGGTTTTTGAATACACTGGGTGCATGGGTGCCAAGTTTCTTTGATGTGGCTGGCACCTATTATAGTGTTCAGAATATTTGCGACAAGTATGAAGAATGCTTGATTTTTGTTCTACGTATATAAGTGAATTGTATTATGTATTAGGATCATTTTATTGTAGTAGTTCAGTTTTATTTGTAAGAAAAGTAATTTGTAACTTTGTTATTTAGGTGAAATTGTCTTTTCAATTTAGTGTTATGGAGCAGAATGTTGTGTTTGTTAATCGGTTAAATGATGCTATCTATGGATGGGTTCTTCGAGTAGTAGTTGTTGAAAAAAGTCTTATTCGGGACAGTCGTAATATGGGTTGGAGGTATCAACGATTTGTTTTTGCAATAGTTTGGTAAGTATTATATTTTGTTCGTTGCTTTTTTTTTTTAGAAAATTTTATGATGTTTATTTTGTAGGGTGATCGGCAGTTGCATATTATAATGACATTCATGTCTTGAATGAAACTTTACAATTGTACTCAACGTATTATATTGCCGATGCTGCTGTTCGTCGAATCCTTCATGGCTCAATAATGCTTGGATCAGTTCCTTTTGAATTGGTGTTAAGATCGAATACTTTTATTGAAACTGTTGATGAAAGTCTTGCAGTACCAATTCATAATGTTTACCATATAAATTTATGTCTAGATGAAACAATTCATTATACATTTAAAATATATGTAATAAATAATACCGAGTTACCTCTTTTTTCAGCTTCAAATAATTGATCAGGAGTTGTATATTGATGGGGGTCCAATAAATTTTCTCCAGCACAAGTTGTTGCTTGATGAGGATTCATTCGATCAATATGTACTCGTTCTATAGAAGGATGCCATCTAGGTTCACCATTGGCGAAGATTAATGGATATTGGAGTGAATCATAACAAGCATAATAATGCTTGGTAATTTGTGTTTCACCATTTTTTCCATATACTTGGATATGATGCGAGGTAATCTAATCAGAAATTTCAGAATCTGTCCATACAGCTCCGACTTGAGATGTTGTAGGTCGATTGAACACTCGTTGATCCAAATCTGGATTTGAGTTAAGAACAATCTTATAATCATCTATATTGGGAAGATCTTGTAAACCACGGAAAAATGCAGAGTATGGATTCAATTTCAAGATCTCTTCAATCTTCGTAATCAAGCTTTCCCGAAATCTGCTTGAGATAGATAATCGATTCACTGTCTCATGATCAGTGTCAAAAAAGTATAATTGTAAAGTTTTTTACTTTCTGGCCTTCTGGCGGTACCAATGGATTGATATAATGGTACATTTGCCCTTGAACTCTAAATGTATAAATTCCATGATAATCTTTACTTAATGATTGATCACAGTGCATGCCAAGTGAAGTAAAAGCAAACATATTATTATAACTACGAATGCACCGTCGGAATTCAGCAGCCTCATCCGAATCCTCAAGATATAAAAGCATTAATTCTCTAGGCATTTCAGTTGAAAGCAATTGAATCTCTCCAGAAGAACAACAAAATCCAGGTGGTTCTTTGTGAAATCTCTTAGCATCACAATGTTCACAATTTGGAACTGAAGGTAAAACATCAGGTTCAACAGCTATATTTTGCAATGGATCAGGCTTTGCAGAACGACGTCTACCTATAATAATAGTGTCAATAAACATAAATTTGGTGTAACAATCCAAGATAATGTATATAAAGTTTAAGATAAATACTTAGTCATAGTTCTAATCAACAAAAGACAAAAAAAAAATTGTAAATAAAGATTAGTAGCTGGTGTGTTTCTTCTTGAAGACGAGGCATCTCGAAAATTTGGACCAAGAAAACCCTCTGGTGTAGGAAACGTTATATTATTGTTATTTGATAATTGATCATGTTCATTGGTCGTAGAATTTTTGGTGCAATCATAATTTCTGATCATTGAAATAGTATTTTCGATCCTGGAATCATTTGTATTGCTTTCAAAAAGCTCAGGTCCTGTATATTATTTTCAATTATTAACAAATGAAGCTAAAAAGTTACAAGTGATTGTAATGCCAAAGAAAATATAAACAATACTCCACACAAAGATTTGAGTAAATAAATTTCCTTTCAGTTGGAATTAGCTATGCAAGAAATTATACAAGAAGATGCACTGGATATCAGAAAATGACATGTAAATAACCAAAAAGATAATTGCTAGTTCGGGAGAGAAAAAAGTAAGCGAACCTTGCAAACAACTGCGGACATGAGATACTGATTCATCATTGAAAGGCATGTGATTGTTGTTTTCAAAATTTGTATTAGTTCTAATGTCTTCTTGTAGTTCAGGTGTGATGAAAGGAAAAGTAGAAATATTATCAACTGAGGATTTTTGCTTTGCTTTCTTCGCTATAGCATAACGTTCACGACGACGACGATTTCGTTCCCTTTGAGTTTCCTCAGGTGTGGCGTACTTTCTTCGTCGTTGACCATCGACTGACACTTTCACATCATTATCCTTAGATGAAGAATTATTGATTGAACAGGAAGTGTTAGGCCATGGAGCAGCCTTTTTAGTTGATAATGTATTACAATCACTTGCATTGTCCTTTGCCACTGCACATAATTTTACATTAGTAATTATATAAATATATATTATATAATCAAAAGATAATTTTACAATGATAAAACAAAGCTAAGTTTTGAATTGGAATAGGAGACTCACCTATTGGAAACATTAGCAATACTTTTTCCATGGATATTAACAGGAGTCAATTCTTCATCGGTTTGAATAGTAGGAGAACCAAGAGAACCATATTTATTCATAAGAGGTGAAGAGGACAATGGATTCTCAATTGTATCATCTGTGCTCATATCCACAAAAGAAGTGCCATCATTATATTTATTGATACGCATACGCTTCATAGAAAAAGTACTCGTCTCGGCTAAATTATCCATCATTCGCAATGCTTTCACAGTAATGGTGCAAGTCGTATTAAATGGACCATTCTCCTTTTGTTTCTTAGCTGCAGCATATCGTTCACGACGACGACGATTTTTTTCACTGTAAAGTTCCTCAAGTGTAGCATATTTTCTCCTTGGACCCATTTTCAGTGATACTTATATACTATAGTTTAACTTATATACTATAGTTCAAGTAACGAGGACAAAAGAAGAATAATTTTCATGCCAATAAAACAGGGGAGAATAATCAACAGATTTTATGCAAGTAAAATACAGCACAATGTTGTTGAATGAATAAGAAGCAAACAAGATTAACTTTCATGCAAAACCAAAAAAGAAAGGGACAGTATACAGGTAAAGAGAACGGAAACAGATGGAAAGAAACTTACATGATATTAGAAGATGCAGAGCAAGGAAAAACGTTTACAGGTCTCCAAACAAATAGCTGCAATTAAACAAATACATGATATGATATATCAGACATGAATTAACAATTGTCAATCAAACAAATACGTTATATGCATGAAAAGTAAGCAACGAACTACAAAGCATGAAGATAAATACATTACCAAATCAACAAAAAAAAAAACAATGAGAATGGATCTCATATTAAGCAACTACCTAGCTGCCTTCAAAACGCAAGACCTTTTGAACAAGTAAATCACAGGTGCAATAAAACTTGGGGTCACACTCATCGGAAAGAAGAAAAACTAATAAACTTCAATTCCTAACATGCAGATAAATACCAGTGAATTGTAAGCAAGAAAGAATAACAATCGCGACTAACCAAAGCATTGAACAAAGCCAAAATCGGAGAGGCATCAAAGCTTACCCGTTGTTGCCACAAAGAGCCAGAGGAACTTGCAAGTGAAAGCCTAGCCGTTGTTGTTCGGAACAAGGAACGAGAGGAACTTGTAATTACAAAGGCAAAAGCAACCCATTATCTATTGCAATGCAAAACGAGCAAAGGACACCTGGCCAAATGTTTTCCCGAGGAAAAAAGCCACCGCTTGAAATCACGTATCAGGAATTCATGCAAAAAAAGCCAAGTTCCCAAATCACCCCTCTAACAAGCAAACTTAACAAAGAAACCGGACAAAGTCTTTACCCTTCACAAAACCCATATTTACAATTAAACCTGCCCAAAAAGTACTGTTCACAACTAGCATTGACGCTTTACTTATATAGTTATGATATGATATAGACTAAATTTTTTTTTATAATTGTGCGTCTTAAATAGTAGAAGGATTATAAATCATTTTTAGTTCCAAATCTTAACACGTTAGCCAATTTTTGTTACCTGTGATGACAATGTTGGACTTCTATTTTTTTTTTCGGTTCAATTTTTGGGAATCATGCAATTAGAAGCTTCTTGTCAACATGGTAGACAACTACTCCACCCAATGCAACGAGTAATAAATTGCATAGAAAGAGAGGCACACACAGAGCTTTTATTTACCGCCTAACAAAGTAAACCACCAACGGGAAATAACCAAAATAGCCAATTGACAAAAATAGCCTCCACATCCAACAATAATTGTAGCATAATCGCTTGACCAAAAAGCACTATTCATAACCCAACTCTCCCCTTTTATATTGTTAGATATTATCTTTTATAAAGAGAAATAAGCTCATAAATTAGCACACACATATAAATAGAATGAAAACTATAATAATAAAAGTAAGGGCACTAAAAATGGCTTAGCACACACATATAAATAAAATGAAAACTATAATAATAAAAATAAGGGCACTAAAAATTTTCTAATAAAGAAAATAAAGAAAAGATTAAAAGAAAGAATCCGTGTATGCTTAATCCAGTTGAAGAAGATAAAACGCCAAAGCAACTCCGTTTAGGAGTTTCAAGTGGGAACAGGTGTGACTTAGGAGGAAAAGTAGGAGCTTTGTGCGGTTCACTTGGAGAAACCAAACACACGCCTGAAGGACAAATACAAAAGCCAACAAAGTTGTCCATAATTACCGAATAACCGCTTGACCAAAGATCAATTTCCAGCAGAGCCATTGCCATCCAAGTCCAAAAGACTAAAATGCCCCTCAAAGTCACAAAAATAACGGCATAACCGCTTGACCAAAATGGCGCTATTCATTTGCCAACTCTCCCTTTTATTATATAGACTAGTGGGTGGGTTAATATTTCCCGTGTTAACTATTTTTTATTGTGTGGGTTTATTAGTATATATCTATATTATTATCTAATTCATGCAGATCATTAGAAAATTATCGTTTTTATTAAAGGTTGACAATTATGAAATATATAGAATACATGAGAACAATAATATATAGAATGCATGAGGGCGCTTACTTAGAATGCATAAGCGTAAATTAAAAAATTGTATAAGGTTATTTTGCATTTGAATTAAGATAATTAGAAAATTATAAAGTGAATCATTCCCAAAAAAGTATTAATCATTGTTGACACAAAAAAGAGGGGACTTGGCAAGTCAATTAAGCACTTAAACCATAGAACTTGGCATTGTTAAAATTAATCACCACATGTCACAGTAATAAAACCCATTTTTTAAAGTTACTAAAGCCAACAATGGTTTATTAATTGTTTCCTCAATAATTGTGCATTTACAAAACACTTAACCATTTTATTTCATGTCAAGCCAACAATAATTTATTAATTGTTTCCTCAATAATTGTGCATTTACAGAACATTTAACAATTTTATTTCATGTTACAGTAATAAAGGCCATTTTTAAAGTCACTAAAGCTAGCAATAATTTATCAATTCTTTCCTAGGTAATTTTGCATTTACAGGACACTTTAAAAGCAAATAATTAACCACAAAAAACCAACTTTCAAAAGTTTCACTTTTTACACCACCAATTACCAATTCGATCAATATGTCTCGTAAATGCACCATAACTATACCTACTTTAAACAAACAAAACAGGCAATTTGATGAAAACAGCCCCGACATCCAATAACAATTGCAGGATAACCACTTGACAAAAAAACACTACTCATAGGGCAACTCTCCCTTTTATATTGTTAGATAATTGCAGGATAACCACTTGACCAAAAATACCATTCATAGGGCAACTCTCCCTTTTGTATTATATATATAATTATATATATATATTTTTAATTTAGAGTACTTTAGTTTTTTAATGTAAGAAACAATCTAATTAATGTTACATGTTTGACTAAAATAATAAAAAAAAAATAGCACACCATATTGCTTTTCAGTTTAGAGCCATTAGGAAAAATGAATGTGTTAAAAAATTTATAATAATTATATATATTAAATACGAATATGTTAGTAAAATAAGAAATTAATTCTTTTAAAAAGGAAGTAAGTTAACCATCTAACTCACATACAGGGCGGAAATAATTTTATGTTTATAGAATGGAAAAATAATAATAAAGATAAGGGCATCAAAAAATTTGTAATAATTATATACATTTAATATGGATATATAGACTAATATTTTTTTTATAATTGTGCGTCTTAAATAATAGAAGGATTATAAACCATTTTTAATTCCAAATCTTGACACGTTAGCCAATTTTCGTTACCTGTGATGACAATGTTGGACTTCAATTTTTTTTTCGGTTCAATTTTTGGGAATCATGCAATTAGAAGTTTCTTGTCAACATGGTAGACAACTACTCCACCCAATGCAATGAGTAATAAATTGCATAGAAAGAGAGGCACACACAGAGTTTTTATTTACCGCCTCACAAAGTAAACCACCAACGGGAAATAACCAAAATAGTCAATTGACAAAAATAGCCTCCACATCCAACAATAATTGCAGCATAATCGCTTGACCAAAAAGTACTATTCATAACCCAACTCTCCCCTTTTATATTGTTAGATATTATCTTTTATAAAGAGAAAATAAGCTCATGGCTTAGCATGCACATATAAATAGAATGAAAACTATAATAATAAAAATAAGGGCACTAAAAATTTTCTGATAAAGAAAATAAAGAGAAGATTAAAAGAAAGAATCCGTGTATACTTAATCCAGTTGAAGAAGATAAAAGACCGAAGCAACTCCGTTTAGGAGTTTCAAGTGGGAACTGGGAACAGGTGTGACTTAGGAGGAAAAGTAGGAGCTTTGTGCGGCTCACTTGGAGAAACCAAACACACATACAAAAGCCAACAAAGTTGTCCATAATTACCGAATAACTGCTTGACCAAAGATCAATTTCCAGCAGAGCCATTGCCATCGAATTCCAAAAGACCAAAACACCCCTTGAAGTCACAAAAATAACGGCATAACCGCTTGACCAAAATGTCACTATTCATTTGCCAACTCTCGCTTTTATTATATAGATATAGATATAGATATAGATACATTCAGGCGTCTTCTACCAAAAAAAACCAATTTAGTATGTAAAAGGCAAAAGTAGTCAAAAAAAATTAGGGTTAAAACAAAAAAAACCACCATATGCAATGATGAAGCCAACGCATGGCTGAGGGGAGCTATATCCCCCCTAAGTTTTGAAAATTTGAGCTCATAATACGTAAATTTATGTATAAAACAAAGTTAGCCCTTCTAATTTTTCACTATTTTAGTTTATATTATGAGAGTTTATATATACATATATATATATATATATATATATATATATATATATATGAATTAACCACCTTTGAATTACTTTTTTCATCAAAATAAGTTATTTATTTTTATTGTGTTAATTATTTAACTTTCAAAAAAATAAACATATAATTTGATGATCCATAGTAAATCTACCCAATTTAATATATTATAATAAAGAGATCCAATCCACAATTATCAATGGGCCAAAATAAAAATATTTACTTTATTAGACCATATACAAATGCACGGCTTAGCCAAATGATTAGACTTTTTCTCACATTTCCTGTATCAACTGCAATTAGAGAATAGGTATTTTCAATTATGAAAATCAATTAGACTAAAATCCGAAACAAGATGGAAGATGATTTTTTAAATGATTGCCTAATTATGTATGTAGAAAAGGAAGTTGTTGAAAAATTTAGTATTGATTCAATCATGGATGAATTTAGTTCTATGAAAGAACGTAAATCTCAATTTACTTTTAAGAAAATATGTCGAAATTTCAAGGTATGTTAACATAACTTTTATCTTTTTTAATTGAAAATAGTTATATTTGTATTGCATATATATATATATTGGACAGGTGACATATTAGAGCATTTTCTCATAATGTGCAACTTGGGTGGTTTGTGATGTTATAAGATATTTAATCAAAGGTTATTTTTTATATTAATTTTCGTTATGACTATGCTGCATATTTATGAATAGACATACATTTACAATTAAAGTTAATATTTGATGTTTTTATATGTCATATATTTAAATAAATGAAAATTATTTTGAATATAATATATTAAGATAATTTTGTTGGAAAAAATTTTGTTCTCCTAGAAAAAAAATCCTGGTTTCATCACTAACCATATGGCGTGACATATATACACTTTAGTTTTCTATAGTTTGGAGACCTATACTTTAACTCTTTATAGCTATAATGAAAGTAAAACTATTAGATTTCACGGTAAAACTTAAATAGTCAACCTTTTAAAATAAAATTACTATGAAATTACAATCAATTTTCAAACTAAGATTAACATCATGTTCGAAATAAATTTTGAGGCAAACTATACATTTAGAAAATTTTGAAGTAAAAACAAAATTTTAGACAAAAGTTTATATTTATTTATTTTATCTCCAATATAATCTGTTGGATTCTACTATCGCGATGTTATAAAAAAGTTCATATTTTTTCATCTTTGGCAAGAACAAATCAATGTGGAAATATAAGATTTTGTTATTGCAATGGGGTTTAACGTGTGCACAATTAATATTTGTCAAATCATATAAAAATAAAAAAATTTCCATGAATGCACTATGTGTGGAAATTCATGGATATGCAGCATTAGTTAAGACGAGCTAACAGATTAGTGCCAATCAATTTACCAAAACTAAATAAAAATTTAAGTTGAAAAAATGAAACATAAATGTGAGACCCAAAAAAAAAAGAAAAAAGCAAAATGTTTCATGTAAAATAATAATGTAGTAATATTAGCCTTCTCACCCCACAATTAACATAATGGCTTACCCAAAGATTCTATAAGATTTTATCTGTGTTTAAATGATTCAAAACTATCAAGTTCAAATGCTAAATAAATTAAAAAAAAAACAAAAATGGTAACTTTACAACTCATCAGTCGCATGCAAAAAACGGCGGGAATTCTTGGCGCTATTAACCTCAAACTCCCCATTTTCAGGAGAATTATTCCTCCTCAGTCCCCAAATTCCAACATCCATTTCGCCATGGCCGAAGAGATGAACCTCCAAAACCATAGCCCCGAAGTCAAAGAACCCACCCCAGAAATCCGGAGACTTGACCCTGAAAATGGCTTGATCCAACCCGCCACCGCCCCATTTTTCCGAGTCAAAAAGCTCTCTGACAAAGCAGTTTTGCCCTCTAGAGCTTCTCCCCTCTCTGCTGGCTATGATCTCTCCAGGTATTGTTCTCCTTCACTCTTTGATTAACGATGGTATGAAAATTATATGAAAAAAAAATGTGGTAATTTTGTGTGTTTTTGTTTCTGTGGACAGTGCTGCTGAAATAAAAGTGCCCGCCCGAGGCAAAGCTTTGATCCCGACTGATTTGAGCATTGCCGTCCCTGAAGGAACCTATGCCCGTGTTGGTAATATTCCATTAGAAATCATCCATTTTATCTTTTCTGAAATTGGGCTTTTTTTTTCTCCTCACTGTGAGTAAAATGTTGTTGAATTTATTTAATGATTATAGCGCCGCGGTCGGGATTGACATGGAAGAATTCAATTGATGTTGGAGCTGGAGTGATAGATGCAGATTACAGGGGTCCAGTTGGGGTGATTTTGTTCAACCATTCTGATGTTGACTTTGAGGTGAAGCCCGGTGACAGAATTGCACAGCTGATTATTGGGAAAATTGTGACGCCGGAGGTGGAAGAAGTTGATGATCTGGATACCACTGTCAGGGGAGCTGGAGGTTTTGGATCAACTGGGGTTTAGAGCATTCAGGAATCCAGACAAGTATTACTGATGGTAGATAATGACTAGTAGGAAAAGGTGGTTTTCTTATATTATTTTGTTTTATATTTGGTATCAGGGATTAAGGGTGAAGATGGATTGCTCTCCAATATTCTATGGAAAATCACATGTTTATCTAGTACTGTGGCTGCCTGTTCCTGAAGAGCTAGTATGTTGTTCTTAGTTTTGGTTTAAGGTGAATCTAGTATGTCATTCTTTTGAAATGTTGTTTTGTGGATATTAAACAGTTTCCATCCATTTGGTGAATGGATGGTCTTGAACATAATTGACCAGGGTAACATCTGATTAGCGGTGCACCTCAAATCACTAGAGATGGGTCTTTTGGAAGGGGAATTCAACTGATTTTTTGCAGTTAAGAAGAAAAAAGCTTGGTATTTGTCTCATTGATTAATGATCCTATGGATGTATCCAAGTCCAAATTGATATTCATTGATGTAATGTGGTCCTTGAATTACAAAATTTAACAATAATATTTGCCTTAAGAGGCAATAGAGAAGATTTACAGCGTGACCTGAATGATTACAAGGAGGAAAATTGTGGAAAATGCTGGTGGAAGTTCATAATTGTTATTCATTGGTCAGTAGCAGAAAAGATTTGAATTTACTCCTCTTCTTTCTTCATCACTGACTCCTTCAGCTGGTTCCTCCATTGCTAAAAATCCCTTTGTACATGTCTGAGCCCATCCCACTGAATAGGTGCAGCTGTCCAAATCAATTCACCAAAAGAAAAGTATATGCTCTACAGTTTCCTGCCCTTCTCGACAGCTTTTACATCTGTTACCTCCTGAATATGAGCTCATTCACAGGAACTGCTTTGTGAAAACATCTCCTTACTAAGTGCTTGATTTTGTGTTTCACATTTAAGTTCCACAGCATCTCCCATATTCCTGAACTCTGATTAACTATACTACATTTTCCCTCAAACTGATTCCATCTTTCATTTCTTTTTTCCACATTTTTTGCTTCATTGTAACCTGACTAGACTGTCTACTGGCCAGATGAGTCATGCTTTCAGTATATCCTGTCTGCTTTCCTAGTTAAGATTTATTGGCATGCTGAGCATGTATTGAGCATCTTCATTGTTGAAAGACTGCTTAACAAGCTGTATATTCCAGTTAAAATTCACAAATCAACTAACCAGCTGTGGTCCAAAACAAGTTCTGCGGCATCCAGATTGTCACTTTACAATCTATCATTACATTGAATCTATTTATGTTGCCAAATAGCCTGTTCTGCCCTCCCCAACTCTATTCCTAAGGCCATGTTCAAGCAACTTTTTTGCACTAGTGACACTTTTCCATAACCAAGCTGCATTCTTAGAAGGGAGGAACGAGTATTGTTCCTAACAACAATCACATAGCAGCGAAGCCCATAAACCAAGTTCTTTGGATTCTCCAACTGTTAGCCTAGGTAATGAATCAAAACTAAGCAGGCCCATGGCTGAAACTTTTCTAACATTCTTCCTTGATTGCATTCCTTGCTATCCAATTCGTCCAGAAATAGAGATTCATGACAGCCTTCATTTACGTCTATTATCCAGCATGGAAAACTTGTAAACTGGTATCACTCTGAAACCAACTAAAGCCAGCGCCCTTAGATATGCCTCTTGTCTTCATAAACTCCCTAATTTCACTTGCATTGTTCCATCTCCCTGCCTCTGCCAAGGTATTTGATAAAGCAACTTATGCCCCAGGACGACTCTCAGCATTTAACCTGATTAGTTCATTGGCAGCTAAATTAGCTATATCTATATCTGCATGCAGCCTAGAAGAACTCAGAAGAGCTGCCCAAACATCAGAACTAGGCTTTTGAGGCATTTTCACAATAAATTCAAAGGCCTGATTAAGACTTCCTGCACGGCCTAAGAGATCAACCATGCACACATAGTGCTCCATCCTTGGTTTCATGAAACAGTCTCTCTCCATGCAGTAAAAGATCTCCCATCCTTTTGCAACTAGTCCAGCATGTGCACAAGCAGCAAGAGCACTGAGAAAGGTAACATAGTTAGGCTCGACTAAGGGATCTAATAGCATCCTATTGAAGAGCTGAAGTGCTTCAGTTGGAGCACCATTTTTACCATGACCATCAATCATGGAAGTCCACGTAAACACATTCCTTTCAGGCATATGATCAAAAATTCTTCTTGCGTCCTCTGTTCTTCCACATTTTGAATACATATCAAGAAGAGCACTGCCCATTTTTATATCCATGAACAATTCAGTCTTCTTAAGTTGCCCTTGAACCTGCTGACCAACTTCAAATGCTGATATTACAGAACAAGCTCCAATAATGCTCGCAAAGGTTGAAATTGTGGGCCTAAATTCCAACCTTTTCATGGCAATGAAAACCTAAATAGCCTTCTTGGGAGTTCCAATCGATTTACTGTAATCCTCAATCATTGCATTGAAAACCACCACATCTTTATCCACTATCTTGTTGAAGGCATCCTTAGCATCTTTGACAAGACCCTAGTTCATGTAACCAGTGATCATAGATGTGGCACAAACTATGCTCTTCTCCAACATCAAATCAAACACTCTCCTTGCATAATCCACTCTCCCACTCTTCACACACGAGTCGACTAAAGCCGTGCAAAGCACATCATCACCTTCAATTCCAAATTTGACTATCTGGGCATGTACCTCTTTGCCTACAGCCTTTGACAGTGAGATTACACTTTGAAAACTAGATCCCTTCAATATCATCGAAAATGTAAAACCGTCAGGCATTTCACCTGAAAAGGTCAATTTTCTAAACAAATCAAAGGATTTCTCATCGAACCCATGTTTTATGTAACCTGATAGCACATAGTTAGAGGAACTAAATGTTGGTTGAGGCAATTCATCAAACATTTCTGCGCATACGCCAAGCAAGAAGATTGGAGGTGAACCATGAGGATGTTGATGCAGATATTAAGATTGGGCTTGAACCCAGTTTTGATAATGTGGGAATGAATCTTTTGCCCGTGAGAAGGGTGGTCTGAGTTGATGTAGTATTCGAGGGCCGAGGAGACACTAGTGGAAGTTAACGGGTTCAAAAGGTAGTTATTTTCTGTTGGTGGGTAGTTAGTCGTTGATGGGATCAGGCGTTCGACTTTTGCACATTTTGACATCTTTTTAAGAAATTGCAGGATTGAGGCCTCATTGTTTGGCCTATTAATACATTTGTCTTTTTTTTTTATGACATGGGGGGTATCCGGGCTTTCAACCCGACTAATCCTCCTGCGGTCTGGAAGAGGGCGCCCCAACTCACTTCGAGTATGGTAACCACGGGATTCAAACATTGGTCAATGCCTTAAAGAATGACTACATGACCGGCCGACCTACTCCACGGGTTATTAAGATATTTGTCAATTAGGGGCATTTGGAATTGTATTTTTAACTTTTGTATTTCAATTAAAGTCTTTGTTTTGTATCTTTTTTGGCTAATTTGTCTTCTTCCATCTTTTCACAGAATGGCGTACTTGTGTTGTATGCTAACTTTTTCTTCTATTGAACCCGCTTGAGGTATGGATGCTCTGAAAGAAATGTGCATACGTTATTTTCATGAAGAAAAAATGCAAGTTTTGTCTTGGACCATTGTAGGGTTAGGGTTACCTATACTATTGTCATTAACGTTATATGTGTTGGGGTTTTTACTAGAATATATTATATGATACTTTTGCACTTTATTATATTATATTAGCATCTACATTTATATGTGTTGGGGTTGGTCCATATATTTTGTATTAAAGCATATATTATATGGCAAATTAATATTGATAATTGTAAACTTTTTATATACTTTTTATGGTAAATTCAAGTGCTTAAATTACGTACATATATATATATGTATGTATGTAATTTAAATACTTTTAATTTAAAGGTAGATTTTTAAATTTAAGTGAAATCCAAAGTAGGGAAGCTCTGAAAACTCGAAGAACTATTGTTGGATGTTAATTCTTGCACTTGTCATTGCTGGATTTGTTTACTAATTATATATGATTGGGAATTTTTTTTTTTTTTTGGATAAATGAGTCACAGGGACAGCCTAAATCGAACCAAAACTTTCCCACATTTCATGATGCCTTCTAGATTAGTAATGTTCAAACCCCAAAAAAAAAAATTGATTGTTACAAAATCTTCTAAAAATACACACTTAGATACAGTCCTTATAAATAAGAGAAGGTAAAAAAAAAAAAAAAAGTTAATCTGTCTGATTCAGAAATCCCACCATAGACTTTTAGCTTTTATGAATTTAATAATGAAGTACTTTTGGAAAACCAATGTTGCATCTTAGTCAATATTCTCCAAAAAAAAAAAAAATGAAAATCAAAGTGCCATCTGTGGCACAAGCAATGTTATGTTGTAGTCCTCATTGAATAGTTCCTCTCTGACCAAGTAAAACTGAAGTTTGGAAGAAAGGGGTGGAAAAAAGTAATAATTGAATAGAAAATAAAGTCCAAGAAAGCTGATTGGAGTCAAATTACTTTTTTGTAAGCTTTCAAATGCAATTGCAGATGTTAATATAATGATTGCCTGCTGTTAATATCAAAATCTTTAGCAATCAAACTGTCATAGTCAAAGGAAAAGGGAAAAAAAAAAATAAAGGAATCAATACTTCAAAAGAATATTTTAGGTAAACAGTCAAATGTAATTGTAGATATTGACATAAGAACTGTCTGCTATTACTATCAAAACTATTAGGAGTCACTATCTCAAGTAGTCAAAGGAAAACGCCAAAAAAAAAAAAAGGGATTCAATACTTGAACGAAACTAGCAATTGTCCCAATTCAGCTGTCATTCCCATGCAGCTTTTATATTTGTAGGTATCATTCCCATGCTGCTTAACATAGATATATTGATTGAATGCGGAATGAGCTTTGCTGGTTTTGTTCCAGGATTCCCTGTATAAGAAAAATAATCCAAGAAATGTGTTGCTTCTTTGCTAACAACAACAAAATTCAACTTTGAAAGAAAGCAAAATTCCAGACGTGAGAATTATATAATTGCCATCAAAATTCCCTCATATATTACCAACTTTATTCAATCTGTCAAACACGGGCATTTGTCAATAGATGTTAGTAGTTTCGAAAAGTAAAATTCAATAAAAAAAAAAAAATAAGTGTATATATGCAAGGTTGCAGGCGTGCTTTAGCTATACTAACACTACAGTCGAGTTGCTAAATTGAACTTTACTTCATTCTGTATATGTCCTCAAGTAGACACTTAAATACATTTAGACCATTAGAGTAATTATAATTAGGATTAATATTTTATATACTGACAGTTCAAGAATTCTTTATAGGAGTAGTTTTATAAGAGAAGAATATTCTGGGCATGAGAACAGAGAATGTGTCATGAATCACTATAGACTTTTGTAGACAATTTTGTTAGAAGATTAATAATAATCAAGCTTCAAGCACAAATAATGCCACGTTTAGTGTGTAAAAAACTATCTTTTATTTATTCCCAAGTCAAGTGGATCGACGACATGGTTCTTGCCGCCAAGATAAAGATAAATTTGTTTGAAAGCTATAAATCATTGCATTGCTGATACTCATTCCCATAGTTCTTCGAGTAATTGAGACTAAGAACAGTAGTAGAGACAGCAGAGATAGTGATTGATCATCAGGGATGGAGAAGAAGGTTGTTAATGGACAAAAGGAGCAACATCCTCAGCAACCAATCCCTTTACTGACTCCATACAAATTGGGACCTTTCCAGCTCTCCCATAGGTATTATCTGTCCACTCATTTTACTAGATTCTTGTTTTTCCTTTAGTCTCAAGTGAAATTAGTGATCATTCTTTGCTTGATTTTTGAAGATTTTTCTTATCGATGCCCATATTTTTACAGAATTGTCATGGCACCTATGACAAGGCAAAGATCTTACAACGATATTCCACAGCCACATGCTCTTTTGTACTATTCTCAGAGAGCCACCAAAGGGGGTTTGATCATATCAGAAGCCACAGGCAGTTCTGAGACATGGAGAGGGTAACTGTAGTAGCATATCTTATTTGATCTAGTCTTAATGGTGCATTTCTACCAGGAGGAATGCATAAGATTTGATCTGTATTTGTAACATGTTTGCTCATACTTGAAGCTATGTACACACGCCTGGTATATGGACAAAGGAACAAGTTGAGGCCTGGAAGCCTATAGTAGATGCAGTTCATGCCAAAGGTGGTATATTTTTCTGCCAGATTTGTCATACTGGGAGGGTGTCAAATTATGGTAATTTCTTCTCTCATTACCATTTTAAGTTGGAGGGAAATAAATGGTCCCTTCTCTATTGTGGAATTCTACACTTATCTTTACCTATGAACTCTGTTTTGAGTTTGACTGTTTTTATGAACTCTGTTTTGAGTTTGAATGTTTTTACGGCTTTGTCAGGTTTTCAGCCAAATGGGCAGGCTCCAATTTCATCTACTGACAAGAAATTAGCTGCTCAAGTTCGAAATGGCGTTGTTGTTGCAGAATTTTCACCTCCAAGACCCTTAAGGACAGAAGAAATTCCTGATATTGTCAATGAGTTTAAGCTTGCTGCCCTTAATGCTATTGAAGCTGGTAAGGCTTGGTTGGAAAACTAAATCTACGGAAATTCCATTTTTTTGTGTAAAGTTATCTTGTTAAAAGGAAGCTAGAGAAGTCAAAACAAAAATAGAAACCTTGTTCATAGGGAATAATAATCTAGGATTCACCATACATAAGAGCATAGATTTGAGATGTTGCTGATGTTGTCAATTTTGTTTTGCAGGTTTTGATGGGGTTGAAATCCATGGAGCTCATGGTTACTTGATAGACCAGTTCTTGAAAGATTCAGTCAATGACAGAACAGACGAATATGGAGGTTCTCTGGAGAACCGTTGCAGATTTGCTCTGGAAATAATTGAAGCTGTGTCCAATGCAATTGGACCACAAAGACTTGGAATAAGGCTTTCCCCCTTTGCTAATTATCTAGGATCAGCAGATTCAAATCCAGAAGCTCTAGGCCTTTATATGGCTGAAGCCTTGAACAAGTATGGAATTCTGTACTGCCATGTGGTTGAGCCAAGGATGAAACTTATTGGAGAGAAATTTGAATGTTCCGATAGTCTTCTGCCAATGAGAAAGGCCTTCAAAGGTAATTTTATTTCTGCTGGTGGTTATGACAGGGAAGACGGCAACAATGCTGTGGCTGAAAATCGTACTGATCTTGTTGTATATGGGCGTCTGTTCCTGGCTAATCCTGATTTGCCTAAGAGATTTGAGTTGAATGCTCCTCTCAATCAGTATAAAAGAGAGACTTTCTACACATCTGATCCTGTGGTTGGCTACACTGATTATCCATTTCTTGAAAGCAATGCCTGATTCTGCCGGGGCGCATGCTATGGAAACTGCAGTGCAATCCAGGGCCACTACTGAAAAGCCCAAGACTCTTTGATTTTCATTTGAATTGCAGAAGTTTCATTCACGCACTGAAATAAATTGGTTGAATTTTGAGTTTGTAATCTGTGCTATGAGATGTTTCTGTTTGTCATCTCTCTCTCTCATCTACATTGTTTCTGTTTGAAAGCAATGCCTGATTCTGCCGGGGCGCATGCTATGGAAACTGCAGTGCAATCCAGGGCCACTACTGAAAAGCCCAAGACTCTTTGATTTTCATTTGAATTGCAGAAGTTTCATTCACGCACTGAAATAAATTGGTTGAATTTTGAGTTTGTAATCTGTGCTATGAGATGTTTCTGTTTGTCATCTCTCTCTCTCATCTACATTATTATCAATATTCAATACTAGAATACTCCATGGAATGGTTCATCTGATACTAAAATCAAATGAAATGGGAAGCAAAAATCAACATAGAGAATGTATTTCTAAGCAAAAGAGAAGAAAGCAGACTTGATGAATTTGTTTGTCAAGTGGAAAGTTAAGACTCATTCTTTGCTGCCATTACATTAATTGTCTGCCTCGAAATTCAGAATCATTAGGAATCCACACATCAAAATCACTAACAGTCCATTCAGCTGTCATTGCTTTGTTGCTAACATAAATTTCTGTGCCAACATTGAGAGAAGTCCAGACACGCTTTGCTGGTTTTGTTCCTGGATCCTGTGTAAGACAGATGATATAAGGCTATTATTTTCATTGGTAAAGAAATGATAATCCTAAGTCTTTATGCAAGAGCATCCCGTGGAACCGAAGGAAGTGACAGAGCTTCTTCTTGTGGATGTTAACTTTTAGACAAGCTGTTCTTACACGAGGGGCTCCAGCATAGAAGTAGCAAGGTCAAAACATTTTTCTAATCAAATACATGAGATGAATTTCACCGTAGGACTGAATGTAATCTTCATAGGATTGTCCTAATCAGGAAATTCTTTAAAGAGATTGTCAGCACAGGTTATTCTGTTATGAAAACGAAGTGTTTGAAGGAACTTCAGTTAGTAGAAGTGTTTGACCAGTTTTTGCATCTGCAAATTCCAACAGCCTCTTTTTATACTGCAGATTTCCCATAGAATTTGAAGCCACCATCTTCTTAATCTGCTTTTGAAGACTAGTACCATAATAGGTATATAATTTCCTAACAAAGAAATACTTGCCCTCTTGGTTCTCTTAGTCATGTTGAAGAGCTGGAAGAATTCACAGCAACAAGGGTTGAAGCACATGGAGCCGCAAAAACCCCCAAGCTTTCTTTGTAGTAAAAGGAGAATTGTTCTTTGCAGAAAGGCCTAATCAATATGGAGCCACAAAAACCCAAGTTTTCTTTGCAGTAAAAGGAGAATTGTTCTTTGCAGAAAAGCCTAATCACTGAAATCACTGAGTATACACTGTTTTTAGTAAGGGAAGCGTAAGTGAGGGGAAGAAGGAGCAAAGAGAAGGAAAAAATCTTTGGAGAGTGAAGTCATCTTCTGTACATTTGGAAGTCAACGAAATCAACAATATTTTTCACATTTCCAAAGAACAGCAATATCTTGATATAAAACTTTACCATTGATTTTCATACGGCACCTATGGATTTTCTGTTTTAACCAGATGATATTTTGGAGGCAGAAATTAGAGGTCAAATTGCTCTCTGTGGCCTTCTATGATTTTTTCTATTGAAATTGACCAGAAGAAGCTGATGAAGAAAATGAAGTTTACCTGATAGAAGTATAGCCGACTAGACAAGGAGCCGACATCGAGCTCCCAGGTCCTTGGATCCCCAATCCATCCCTCTCCTTGCTTTGCAGGATATCCATGCACAGCCCACTCAGGATGTGGTAGAATTTGAACTAATTCTTGTGCTTGTGGATTGCTATATGGGTCACAGATATCATATGGTTCCTCCAGATGCTCAGCATTTCCTGGAGCACAATATAGATGATAAGCTGAATATGGAAACCGAGAGGTATCATTTCTATAAACTTTTTCCCCTGTTGGACTAATGTGGTAAGGCGGGCAGGAAACAAGATTATTTGGACGGCACCAACTTGTAGTGGCTGGATTTATGATCATCTCACTGTATCTAGTCACATCAGTTATGACATCTCCATTGCAAGGAGCTCCACTATTCTTCCAACAGCTTCCAATATCCAGGAGGTAAAACTGGCTGTTAGGTCCGCCTCCTTGTTTAACTTCAAGTGTCAATTTCACCTTAAAATGGGGTGATTCTGGCAGCTGCAGCGAAAGTGCAAAAAAAAAAAAAATTCAATTTTTAATCAGTGCCTTTCTCAAAATTGCAGTCAGGCAATTGTGTATGACATGATGTTCAATCAAATAACTTCTCCACAGGATGGTTCATCAAACTATTTGTGTCCAATATGATTGAAATAGTCGTATCAACAAGACTTTGAGATTCAGATTGAGTGAAGTGTAAGAAACCTCAGGCCATTCTGTCTCCTACTAGTGATAAGTAGCCAAGAGATATAAGCAAAAATAAACCACTAAAGAACTGACAGACCTTTCTCATTATGCCACGGCCATTGTAGTGATATCCTCCGTTAAACCCTTCTGTGGCATCAGCTCTAAGATACAACATAAGCCAAGGATACTTGGTAGATGTCGTCAACTTGTTTGACACAATCCAACTCCCACTGATTAAATTCTTCTGCCATGAAACTGCGAAAAAAGATTTTGATCCTACTTCTGAACTCAAGTGGGTATCAAGGTCGTAAGTTCCATAAAAACCACCTATTAAAGATGCTTGGTCCCCTGAAAAATCTACTCTCGAACTATTATGGTAAACAAGTGGTTGATTCATACATCCTTTACCAAAACAAGGAAAAGTTCTTCCAGTCACTATTTTACTAACTTTTCTTCCATTTTCAGGACAAAGTGTTGTATTCTTATCAAAATTGCCATTCTTCAGCATAATCATCCAAAAGTACCATGGCTCAGCAGTATCATGCACCTCACAGAGAGAACCGAGATACAATTCCTTTTCCACTGCATAAAGATCAGGATCGCTGTATGCCTTGAACTCAGTATCAGGAAATTGATCGCCAGTCCCTAATTTGTTGTCTGATTCATTCACCTTTTGTATCACTTGACACTTGCTCATCTTATCAAGAAGTAGACTACTGGGCATATCTTAGCCATTTTACCACCAAAAAAAAAATGATCAGAACAATATATGACTTTTTGCATCCAAGAGAGAGCGGATTCTTTTGAGATTGTACTTTTAACAAAATGTTTTATGACATAATGCATCTTCCCAAATATCAATTCTAGTTAAATTATGTTTCAAAAGCAGAAGATTGATACAATGGAGACTTGAGGCAAAGTACAATACTGAAAAGCTGACTAGTCTGGCTAAGCATATATATCCCAAAGTGTTTTTGAACTTGCTCCTTCACTATCTGCCAGAAGCAAAAGGAGAAGAACAAACAAATAGTTCAAGAACTGCAACTCAACATAATGGCCAGATTTCGGACTAAATATTCCCTTTGGAGGAGAAACCATATAACAGATTACATATGACTATAAAAACTTAAAATATCATTACTAATGCCGGTTAAGTACCATAACCATAAACATTTTTGGCATATTGACGAGGTAAATAACACTTTTGATCTGCAAAGTTGGGACATTTTAGATCTACTCAATCAACATAATCTAACAAATTAAAGCCTAGATGTCAAACACTGAACTTATTAGACCAACCTTAGCTGGCCCAAAAAATAAAAAAAGCTCCCAGTGCAAAAATACATACATACATACATACAGACATATATATATATATATATATATATATATATATATAAAGCTGAGCAGTTAATTGGCATTTTATCTTGCTTAGGTGTGATAAAGCTGGACAATGGACCAGATTCAGGGATCTGCTCTAGGTGTCAATCAGTAGCTCCCTAGCTAGTTAACATAATAATGAAGATGATAAATTCGATTTGAAAAAGTGCAAAAAGAAGGTACTATTTAATCATAAACAACTAAAGCAACGGCTTTTCCTAATTGTTCAACTATGCAATCTTGATGTGGTCGATTCTCGAACAACTAATAATATTCTGTAAGTTGATGATAACTTATAATAATCAAGAAAACTTTGCAATCTCTTTGATTCCAAATTTGATAATGCTAATAAGTAACACCCATGATTCTATTGAGATTAGCCTCATACATGAGTATGGTATCTTTTAACAAGGAATCCAAAACAATTTGGGCCCCACTATGTAAGTCTGAAACAATCTGACACATACAATTGGAGGTGTTCTTGTACAAGAATAGTTTTAAAAAAAGGCGTTGATCAATTGTACACTTGCTCCCCTAAATCTAGTCTTTACATTTACACTACCTTAGGTTTGATCTTATTTACACCTAAATATTAGTTCCACTTCACACACTAATTCTTGCAAATAACAAGTTGAGATGACAGTAACGAGAGTCGAACTCTAATGGTTGCAAATGACATTAACTAGAGTCATTAACTGAAACATTACTTGAGGCAACTTTTGGTCACACTAAACAGGGTAAGACTAACTTTAGCATAAATATCATAAATAATGTGGGGCATGATGAAAAGAAAGCATAGCAATATTCAGTACTAGTATGAGTGTGACTAATTCTAAGAGAGTAAAGTTTAAGGTCGTACATAGTTCAAGATTGGAAAAGAAAGTACAGTGAAACCTGCAGGGACAGGAAATTGGGTGCACTGAAGGTCAGCACAGTCGGCCAACCTGGGGCTGCCCATATTCGGTGCTTCACTACCTACTTCGTTACAGAAATTCCAAGCTTCAAACGCAAATCTGGCATTTGGGTTCTTCATTCCTGGGTCCCCCAGTGCTGAAATGTAGGATGAAACAAAGTCTTGCTCTGTGGCCGCAGCCATTGAAACTCTGCAGCCCACATCGCAAAAACTAGCAAGAACAAGCTCTATGGAAATTATTATGCAGGCTAAGGAGACGATGAAACCCATTATTACTTCTCAGCAGCAGAATACCGAGAGCAGAAGTGTTACTTGGTCAGGAATTTGTCTGGTTTTTGTCTTTTTTTGGTCCTATTGAGCCCGTGAATACGGGGGAGTCGCTGTTGAAGTGGTTGAATTGTTGAAGAAAAGGAAGTGAGAGATTAACTTGCAAGGAAGGATTTTGTTTTCTTGTTTTGCATTCTTTTTTACTTTTTTCTTACTCATAAGACTCCGGCAAATGATAATTGTGTAAGAGAAATTTCGGGAAAGTGCGACAATCTTTTTCGTCATCTGGTTAGCCACAAACAATTCAAAATCCTTTTTTTGTTTTTTTCCACTTCA